GCTGCAGCACGCAAGGCGACAGCAGCTGATCCTTGCCTCAGAGAAGCCCTAGGCAGCAGCAGCGACAACACAAACAGCAGCAGCAGCAGCAGCAGCAGCAGCAGCATGCAGCTTTATACTCCCAGTCCTACGTCTGCAGCAGAAGCAGCTGCTGCTCTTGCTGCTGTTGCTGCTGTCGTTCCTTATCTATCAGGTGATTTGTGTGTATCTTTGCTGCGGCTTTGTCTTGCTGCTGTTTTGCCTTCTGCTGCAGCAGCAGAGCAGCAGCTGCTGCTGCAGCAGGCGATGCAACTGCAGCGCCGAGCTGCTGCTCTGGGAGATTCTCCTTCAGGTGCTGATCTGCTGCAGCTGCTGCAGCAGCAGCAGCAGCAGCAGCAGCAGCAACAGGAGGACCTACAGTGCCTGTCGCTGCAGTCATTGCCCCCCCTCGCTAATCGATTGTCTCTTCTTGCTGCTGCTTTCGGATGTGTCTCTCCGCTGCTACCCGTATGCTGCTGCTGCTGCTGCTGCTGCTGCTGCTGCTGTTGCTGCTGCTGCTGTCGGTGCTGCTGCTGCCGCTGATGCTGCTGCTTTCGCCGCTACTGCTGTCGCTGCAGCTCATGCTGATGCTGTTGCCGTTGGTGCTCTCGCTGCAGCACCTGCTGCTGTAGCTGCTGCTGCTCCAGCTGCTGCTGCTGTAGCTGCTGCTGCTGCAGCTGCTGGTGCTGTAGCTGCTGCTGCTGTAGCTGCTGCTGCTGCAGCTGCTGGTGCTGTAGCTGCTGCTGCTGTAGCTGCTGCTGCTGTAGCTGCTGCTGCTGCTGCTGTAGCTGTTTCTCCTTGGGTGCGCACGTTGCACCCGAAGCGGTTGCTGGCAGCAATGGGAACAAGTAGAAACAGCAGCAGCAGCAGCAGCAGCAGCGGCAGCAACAACAGCAGCAGCAGCAGGAGGAACAGCAGCAACTCTGCTTCGGTGTGTATTTGTGCATGCAGTCTGTGGCTGTGTGGGCGCTGAGGGTTCTGTGGGCCTTAGCTAATAAGTCTGCTGCGCTGCTGCAGCAGCAGCAGCTACAACAGCAGCAGCAGCAGCAGCAGCAACAGCAGCAGCAGCAGCAGCGTCATGGTGGGGCGGAGCCATTCTTATGCGTCATTGGCAGCTGCATGCGCGCCGCCACGCAGCTCGCCCTCACCAGCCCCTTCCTAGCTCCTCTGCAGGTACGCAGCAGCAGCAGCAGCAGCAGCAGCAGCAGCAACAGCAGCAGCAGCTGCTGCTGCAGCATCGGCTACTGCAGCAGCTGCAGCAGGTGCAGCTGGAGATGCAACCAACAGGATACAACAAAAGGGCCCTTAGAGGCAGCAGAAGTTTATTCACTTTGTTAGCGTGTTTGCTGCTGTTATTGGATGCTGCTGCTGCTGCTGTTGCTGCTGCTGCTGTTGCTGCTGCTGCTGCTGCTGCTGCTTTGGGTGTTCAGGTTAGCTGCCTCCGCAGT